GAATTTTCTCAGACTTTAAATGTGAATGGTTATTTTTTTTTTTCCCCAAACAACCGTTTGTACATATTAAATTTCCAATTGCAGCAGTTTAGATTCGTTATAAGTTGTATTAATTCCGTTGTAAGGCTGTAACTAAACATTAAACAATAATCTTTATTAATTAATTGTAAAAGGCTAGCTCAAGTACAAAATATACTACTTTGTTCGTTTTTTAGTTGAATTATATTGACTTTTGATATTATTTACATATTTTATTTTGATTATTATTGGTTATTTTTACAAGGAAAATCAAAGTTATGTTGGATGTTATTAGATTCGTTTTAGTGTCTAATTTTCAAAGATCAACATGTATGTTTGTAATATACACAACTATGTACTACTATATGTTTGAGTAACATACATGCAAATGCACAAGTTTGACATCAAATATATGCATGCAGTTAAGTAATGTATTAACAAAAATTATGAAAAAATTAATAATTAAAAACATATATTTAGACTAATCTAACAACATTATGTATTATACGTAGTATAATAACATTTGATTTTTATATATTAGTCAAAGTTAATATACTAAATTTATATAGTAACATTGAGGTGTCGTTTATTCAGAAAGGAAGAGTGTGGAGTAATACGGAATACTTTGTATTAATGTTCTTAATAAACGTAGTAAGAGAAGGAAGAGCAGTTGGAAAGTGGAAAGGTAAAGCCACCTTTTTTACGCGAGCTTTTGCTCCACCCAAAATTCAGCTTTTTCTTCGATGATTTAAAAGAAGATTCTCTGCACAAACACAAACAACCCAAAAACCTATACCTAATGTTTGTGCATCAATTAGTGTTTTGTCATCTTATTACAATTATTGTAAATTATGTATCATTAATTAGTTTAGACGCACCTAAATTGGGACTTTGATTAAAAGAGGAAAATGCCATAGGGAGCTTTTGTTGTTACTCCATTCTATACATAAAAAGCTACTCGTAATATTATATTGATTGACTCATAATATTGTAAAATTTTCAAAATTAATCCCATATTAATATATTATACTACTTATGCCATTTTTATATTTACACCTTAAGAGTGAGGGCATTCCTAAAGTGTCTTTAAGATCCACTAATAGGAATTGACTTTACAGTTACAAAGTTGTGAGACGATTAATCTATTCTTACCACTAGACCAAAACTAGCTACTTACACAATATTCTTTAATATGGTGATGTTACAGGGCTAATTAATTAACTACTCGATAAGTTAACTGGAAAGAAACTAAGATGAATCATGCATAACGATAAGAGCAAGCTGCCACTACGAAAATTGAGGAGTCATAATGAACAAAACAGTACTTGACAAACCTAAAGGGAACAATTTCCTCTGAGAAGGGGTGCGGCGTGCAAATTGTATACAAGTATATACTTCGTATCTTCAAAACTTTATAAAGCATTGAGAATAATATTCAAGTAGTTTAATCTAGCCCCAATTAGACAAACCTAAACCAACAAGATACAAAATATACAAAATTACTACAAGTATGGTGCAATATGCAAGGCCACACCCTGACACCCAATATGTTTACACCAGCAGAATCATGCATGCACTGATGGTGTGATGCACATATATGTGTAGGTAGATGGGGCAAAATTTATTTTAGACAATTTCAAAGTTAGAAGCCACTTTTCAATTTTAGTAAGTTAGACGTTTAGTTTTTCCACATTACCATGATGAAATTATGTAGCAAAAACTATTTTGTGGCATATATATAACTCGATGGCACCCTATTGTTATTTCTTCTATTCCTTTTTAGTTCCTCTGTTTGAATTAGTTTAATTAATATTAATATGTTTATTCAAATTTCTTCCTTTAATTGTTTGTTCATGTAATTAATGTGTTATATAAAAAGTATACAAATTTTTATATGTGGCTGGGGTTACTTATTCAGGGGTAACCTCTGACCGATCGAGTAACTCCTAATCGACATATTAAGTAACCCCTGAGCGACCGATTAACCCCTGACCGGCTAAAACCCTTAAATAAGTAACTCCTGACCTAGTAACCCATGAATAAGTAACCCCGGCCACACGGTGTAGCTAGCCACATAAATAACACATTGTAAAAAGTAATGAAGTATTTTTATTATTATCATTTTTACAGGGTAAAAGTGGCCATGTGGTCTCCCAATTGCACACATTTACATATATATAAACTCACTAACAACAATACAGAGTAATAAATTTTAACACCTTCAAATTAGTTTAGATAAGTAATACTCTTGAGAGTTGAGCACAACTTAAATACCCCCTCTATCCCTAAAATTGTCCTTAACCTCAATTTCACTTTTTAAGAAGTCGAAATTCGTGCACTTTGGTGGCACAATTGTTGTTGAGGAGAAAAATAGAGACTATAGCAAGTTGAAAATTTTACCAATTAAAGTATAAAATTACATTTTTTAAGGACATCCATATTAATTTAGTATATGGAACAACCTTTTAGAGACATGCATCCAAATTAATTTAGTATATGGAACAATCTTTTTGGAATGGAGTGAGTAGGATAGACCGATAGAGAGACACATAAAGAGAGTTAGAGAGTAGACATCTAACACATAAAGGTCTTGTGCATGGCATTATTAGGGATTGAGCAATTGGTTTTAAAAGAAAAGAAGCAGTGATTTTTCATTATATAGTTAAAATAAAAATATATTCCCATTATGCATAAATTTAAAAAGAAATCTCAAATACCGTTCACGTAAGATCAATGTTAAGCTTAAAACCGCTAACGACAATAGCAGTATTAGTTTTAATACCGCTATTACAATTAGAGTTTTCAAAAAAGAGACGTCATTTTAGTAGTACCGATAGGTAAGAGAGTGTCAACATTTAAAGAGACCAAATTTCATTAATGACTTGGTGTCTTTGCCATATTGTTATCATTTTTAAGCTGAACCAAAAACAAATTCTAAATGGACAATACTTCGTGAATTTGTATATTAATCGTTGTATAATAGGAATTTTTATATGTTTTAATAATATTGAGGGAAATTGCAAAAAAAAAAAAAAAAAATAGAAAAATAAAAAGCCAAATAAGATTTCGATGGCACATATCTTTAATCATTGGCAGAAGGAAAAAGATTTGGTATTTGAAGTCATGAAGACATCTTTCATGTATAGTTATTCAAAAACGTGTCCAAGACCTAGCATACGGAGTATTATCTAAATAGCTAGGTTTTTATTAACTTTACGTACACTAAATTGAGGTGATTTTGTGTTTTGGTTTCCCACTTATATGTAACTTACTCCCTATGTCCCAATTATCACATTCTTCTCTCCATTTGCCCCTCTTCGCATGTAAATATAACCAAAAGATCCATGTCTCTAAGAAGAATCATTTGGATAAGTACCATTGGGTAATGCACCCTTTTTTAAATAAAAGAATGCAGAAAAAAAAAAAAAAAAAAAAAAAGGGGGAATGAAAAACCAATGTTTCCAAAACCTTTATTCACACAAGTCAAGGCTAAGTCAAGAAAGTAGGATTTATTAAGCCCCACGGAAAGAAAACTACTACTACTATGTAATCTTGTAGCTCACGATGGAGAAAATAAGAAGAAAGAATCATCTTTTCTACGCACATTGTCCATCAAATTGCTTTTAAACAAGTGTTTTTTTTTTCAATATTATCCATAAAGCTTTCTAAACTTGTCCACTCATAATCTAAGTACTATACTACTGTGAAGTGTGAAACGTGAATATTTCTTCCAAATAATTGTTAACGAGTGAAGAAAGTCTAGACCTATATTACTCCAACAAGTAAGGTCATAGATATCCACATCTTCAATGTAAATTCATGCTGGTATCAGTTATAAATCATCTGAACTCATTGTCAATGAACTGTACGGGTGTAAAACACATCGTCTCATCCACCACCGTGAGCAAAGATTGGTGAATCTATGCACACACGAGTCTATCAGACGATATGTTAGACCACAAACACCATATGCGCTAAATAGCGTCCGCCTGATTTTATATGTTATCAGGGGCAATTACATCACGAGACATATTAATTAGAATCAACCTTATGGCCCTTCTGTGTATCAATATCAGCCCTCCTAAGAGACTCAACTACATACAACGTGTATTAAACATGATTATTCCATGTACTTTGTATGAATAGACAAACAAAGCCTCATAATCAATCAAAACGTAAGCACAAAAATGACTTGTCAAATGGTATATTACCAATTCATAAGCTAAAAACACAGAGGCAGGACCATGAAGATGAAGGTTAAGGCATAAGCCAAAATTCTTGTTGGGTCACCACGAACACATGTCACTCACCCTGATGACAGATAACCTGACAGCTCAACCAGATAAGGTCTTTATCAAACCTGTCAATTCACTAAATAGTCTATAATGACCCTTCTTGCTCCATCTGCCTCTGCTTTCTAGAGATAACACGAAGTGTAATTGTTATTAAGACTTGACATGACTTTTTCTTGACCTCTTCTATTTAACAGATAGAGACATACTTCTACCTAAAAACTGAAATTAGGGTTCCTAATCATGTACCCTTAAACAATAGGAACCAGTTTATGACACTGGTTTCTCCTAAGCATGATCTAATAAAAAGCAAGCCTATATCTAAATTCCGAGTTAAAGTTAGAGACTTAGAGATAATTAAAAAAAAAATTCAGAAGAATTCCATAACTCCAATCCTGCAGGCAACCAACCATAACTGAATTGATACTATACAACAAATACTATTAATACTATAAGCAAGTCACGACTTGGAACCAAATCATAACTTAATCCCGATATTATCACCTTTTATTAACAAACAAAGCCCTTTCCGAAAAAGGCAGGGGAACACAAATGAATGTTAGTTAATGAATAAGCATAACTTGCTGCATCTACCAGCATTTCCCTTCCCAATTGTTCAACCTATATAACGACCCGATTAGTGGATAAATTAATATCATTAAAGGAGAGGGAGGAATGGGGCTGGGAAGGGTAGTTTTAATGTTGCAAGATCAAACCCAAATGATTGCAAACAACAGTGTATAAATGGAGTCCCAGACAAGAATCTCCCACTCCACCAGAATCTCCTATGACACGGCACTAACATCGTAATCTAATTCAGGGCCCAAGACCTTAGTGATAAATCCATTTGGCATAATTTATATATACTGAAATCCCCTGATTTTCATATATTCACACACAATCACAAACACACTGTTTCTGTAAAATACAGCTATATGCCTATATCCACAAGAGCCAGAATTTCCTGGAACCTGCACTCTTTTTATTAATCCAAAAGTAACACCCATCCCTAAGAGCCTATAAATTGGTATCAACAACAGAATTTTATCTGCAATAGAAAAGCCAAAGCAAAAAAAAAAAAAATTAAATAAAAATCTCACATGAGCCACAGGTATGGACATTGATCCTGTAGAAATAACACAAACAAACAGCAGCAAGAAAAGATTTAGTGCCATGCAAATTAAATCTTTGGAATCAATGTTTAGCTCAGAATCAAGACCGGGGTCAAAAACAAAGCAGCGGATAGCAGACCAACTCGGACTTCATCCTCGTCAGGTTTCTATATGGTTTCAGAATAGGAGGGCTCGAAGCAAGTCAAAGCAGACAGAGCGTGATTATAGCATCCTAAAAGCTTGCTATGACAACCTCGCCTCTAAGTTCGAGGCTCTTAAGAAAGAAAATCAAAGCTTGACTGTTGAGGTATGATACTAACCAATCACCCTGAACTTAACCTTCAAAAGACAAAAGAATTCACGTTCTAACATCCAGTATGCACCTTTTTCATCTCTGTTAAAACAGATCCAACGATTAAGGAATTTAAACGAAGGTCCTAAAGACTGCACAAGTGATTCAGCTCCAGTTACATGCAGCAGTAATGGAGAATCTATATCTTTAAGCTCACAAGAAAAGCACAAAGCTCAACCAGAAGATTACATTCAGGACAACATATTGTCCAAGAACAGATCTGAGGGGTTTATGAGTTTTGAGCAGGAGACAGACAGTCAATTTAACATGATAGAATCTGCAGATGATTCATTAGCTTCATTTAGAAACCACGATGGTCTAGAACCAGCCTATCTTATGGAGCATAATTGTATCTCAGACTGGTGGGAATTCTGGACATGATACAATCCATAAGCATACATTTGTAGCCAAGTTATTCTTCCAAATGCTGGGTTTACTTCCAGCAGCTTTTAGCCAATATAAGTAGTGTTAGGAACTCTACCACAGTAATAGACTTGAAAATGCTCTATATATATCCCATTCATCTGCCATGCAAACCCCCAGCCCCAAAACAGAAACCTGAGAAAAGGACCATCAACGCTATGTTGGACACAAAAATGAGTGTTGGATACGAGGAACATATCCAAGTGTCAAGACATATGTAAGTGCTCAATATTTCAGACATGGAAGCAGCCCTACCATTGGACACAGTTACTGACACGGCATTCATATATATATTCCTGATATGAAAAGACCAGTTACACAGGTTTCACGCTACAAATACTTGTACATGTATTTCACATTACTTGCCTTATACTACTTATTAAAATGATATCAAGTCATTTGTGTGCAATCAAATAAACTTCTCCTCTTTCATTTCTCCTCAACAAATACGTGGATACAAATACAATTGAAGTATTTGTGACATAATCTAAGTGCCGGGTATACATATATATAATGCATGCATAAAACCAAATGTCATGTCAGAATAACACAACATCAAAATACACTGCAATATTGCATAAATACACAAAAGAAATAACTCTTCTCATCAAACACCTATAAATTCGACAAGAAAATTCAAATTTTATGGTTGGCTACAATGCTACACATACAACACAAGCATGTTAATGCACAAAACATAAATCTCGCTCTACACACACAATATAAACTATATAATAATAGAAGCATAGTCCAGACAGGACAGAATATTCAAGTAACCAGCCAAACCAGGTCCTCTTCTGCTTGTGATAAAATTCAACATGTCATCCATATCTTCCTGCCATTTATAAAACTATTTTAAAATCTCGTCCTCAACAAGTCTACAATGAATGGCTATGCACTAGCTCCCAAATCAAGCAAAAACGGGAGAAAGAGTTCAATTACAAGTTACCTATAAGAGAGACACGGCATGAAGCTACCAAAAGCATAGGTCTAAAGAGAAGCTGAGATCACAACCTACTCCTACAAAGAAGCTTGACTCCCAAACAATCCTATCATTCCTCTCCCACCAAATCACCGACAAGACAGAAAATGGATATTCCCTCTCCAAACTCACAAAATGGTCTTACAAATGATCTACAATAGCAGGTGAGCTACACCACCTCATACCACAGCCTACGTGATTATTAACCTTTTTATTGAGGTGATACACACTTTTTAGTCAAGGGCATAAATCCTAGAACTATTCTACACCATAGCACATAAATCTCAAGCAATAAGCAGTCAAGCACAAAGACTAAAGATGAAGACTAAATCCTACATTCCACAATAAAAACTGCTGATTCCATTTGCATTGGCATGTCAGCTACTTAATACTAGTTACCATTTCTCTTAGGGTAGGGGGCGTTGAGGAGGTTGTGAAAATCCTGAATTATGTTCTACATAGTTGTTAAGTTACCACAAATCTCCAACACTACATTCACTCAAAGCTATGCAAAAACATAACCCTCCAAAAAAGCCAGATATCCACATGTGAGGATTGATCAACAACAGCTAGCCCAGCAAACCTAATACACTTCATAAACTACCCAAAGTAACAAGATTGATAAAGGCATCAAACTTATTGAATCCAATTAGTCTTAATTACTTCATAATGTAAGCAGGACTGTAGCTAAGAAGCTAGTTAAAGGATAGAAAATTTCTCAACAGCCACAGTTTTATCTCCGACAACTATGTAATAAAACTCATCTATACTGCTCACTTTACCTTCATCACTAGCAGCAATAATTTCTTAGTATCCTTACAGCCTCATTTCTTGTTTGAATTCTAAATATACAGATTTCTTTTTTCTTCTCGATAACATTAATCACATTCCTAATTCTCTTGGAAACAAAAGATCATATCTCTTGGACCAAGGAGGCCATTCTTGTAAGATTCCTAGAGCAACAGTGGCAAACACCATCTGATTTGATTTTGGTCATCAGTCCATTAACAGCACCCCCACCCTCCAGGGCAGTCACATGGCCAATCCTGACAATTCCCCTTTTACAGCCACAAGGTTATATGTACCTTACCACAGATCACATCCCTTCTTGAACTAGTGTTTTAATTATCTATCCCTGTACTAAGCCCATATCAAAAATACAACAGAATTTTCTGTGCGTTGAGGCAGTTATTGCCTTTGAATATAATGAATTTGCATACATATTATCTTACCACAACCTTAAAAAACTAACTAAAAAGTGTATACACAACCAACAATGGCATGAAATTTTTTCAACCCACGAGGTTAATTGCGCCTTTCTACATATCATATTTCTTCTTGAAACAATGCTTTTACTATCCCTGTACTAAGGCCATGTCAAAAAACACAACAGAATTATCAGTGCATTGAGGCCAAGTAAAGGAAATTAGTTCCTTTGAAGATGATGAAACTGTATATTATTGTACCACAGGCTAAAAGAACAGCAACAACAACCACAAGATATGGACAATTAGACAAATTGTTTTATAGTTGTTTCAATCAATCAACTTATCAAAGATAAAGGTTCACTTTTTAATTCGCAATAAGTATGTTATCTCACAACAAAACAGCTCAAGACAAAAAAATTAACGTTCATTCAAGAGAGATATGAACATCATATGATTGCCTTTATACATGGGCTAAGTTCCCTCAGAAGATTTGTCAGCTCTCATGTCAAAACTAAAGAAATAATACATGCAAATTATTTCTTGTTGGAAATTCCACCAATTCAACTAGGGGCAGGATGTTGATATAAGAGGTCTGATCACTAACTGATGACCTAGCAAATAAAAACCATGTTGCACAAGCAAAGTTGCATACATCACTGAGCACCATGTTATTAATTTGTCTAAATCAGTCAGTAAGGGTAGCCAGCACTTCATTGAATAAAGAATTTCACTTTTTCTTCTTGCTGTATATCCATCAACTGCAGCAATAATCTACGAGCATCCTCATTTCCTAGATTTTCCACACTTATCATTGGTTAACATCTAGGAAATCAGATGAGTTCCAGAGACAGTCAGTAATCAAGTATGTAACCCAAATACAGAGAGACTCTATCTGCTCCACTATGCAAAATTTTCTATTGACTAGTTGCTATCAGTCCTCAAACATCCTCATAAAAGATCTCTAATTCCGACTGCTAAAGCAGCATTGAAATCCCCAGCTCAGCTGCATTGTTCACAGCAAACTTCAAAATAATATCAATGCCAACAGCAGCACCCTATGCCTTCAACTCTTAATGCCCAAGAATCAATGTTTTAAGTATCCAAACCAGCTTACTCTAAACCCAATTGATAGAATACAAGTTACAAAATTTAGATTGAGTGACCCGATTTGCCACATTCTCATACAGATAACAAGGGCATCAATTAAGCAAGTCAAAATGAAAATCACTGCATAGCCTGGCCTCAAGCTAATCTCTCTGAGTGATCTATAAAATATTCAACCTCACAAGCATGTAGCAAATTGAATTTGATACTCTTCACACAGTGTTCAAAATTAGGCATTTTTACACTTGCGGCAAACAAATTTGTCGTTACAATCTCAAACGAACCTCAAATTACTTCAAGAAGACTTGCCATCACAGTCTTTTGGCTAAACCATGGAGAGCATTTAGGGATGCCCAATTTTATGCTTCAAACCCTCATGTAAGTGTTTTACAGTGTTCAGATGTTCACAACTACTAAGTTTAAAGACTAACTACAAGATGCTAACCTAGCCAACCTGCCAGACATCACATGCTTCTCTTATTATTACAGAGCAGCCGCAGTTTATGAGTATCAAACAGACCTAAAGTTCATTACAACTTACACAACAGCAGCAACATCAGCAAACCAACAAGACATCAAAAATCAAAAGCTCTCACAAGACCGTCTCATCTTGTGTATAAATCATGAGAGTAACCAAGTGCACTGATATTTCTTCATCTTGTTTCAGGCTTACAGATGGCGTTCATAATTACATTGACAAGTCCAAACAAGTATATTAGCCATTATGCACAGAAGAGCATGCTTGAAGATTATATAACATTATTGACAATTTGACACCAAAAGATACAGCATACAGGTAATCGCATATTCACGTGTTAAATAACAGATAAGTTGAGAGTCTTGAGACTATTAGGTTAAAAAACCTCCACCGTATAAATGGCCACCTCTAACATTTTAGCGAATACAATACTCATAGACACACCTTGAAGCTACGTATTGTAAGCTAACAGTCAAAAAACCTGCAGATATCAGAACCTATAGCTCACCCTTGACCTTCACATCTCCATTAGGCAGTGCATTCTGGGCTTGTGCCATCCTTTTCATATCCTGTATCAGACCTATAAGTTAGATCCTGCTAGAATAAGACACACTAATCCCTCCAAAAGAGCTTATCAGATTTGAAGACAAAGGCACAACAAAATAGTTTGTACAATCAGACCTGTTACATAGTTTCACTGGATTAAGAAAAGGGGGGAATTTGCATATAAATAACAATGTACAAACTTACAGCAGCAGCCGAGGCACGTATATCTCTATATTCCTCCACTTCAGCGGGAAAAGCTTGTTCAAGTTCCTCAAGCATATGCTTTCGCAAACTCTGTAAAGCAAATAGAATCATTATTATTTCATCACTTATTTTTATTAACCATCAAACAGAAGTGGTTTAGCAAGTAAGAGAGAAACAAACACAAAGAGGGAAGAAATTAAAGCCTAGATGTAACCACAGACATTGGGCAACATTAACTGATTAACCTCCTGTCAAACCTACACTCATTAAGTCATTGATGCCATACTCTTTCTACAGGCATGTAGTCAACCATGTAAAGAAAAGGATTTCAAGAACAAACCAAGAAATAATAACCCAAGTCTTACTTACGCTATGTTTTCCCTAACTTGTTAAGATAAGCTTTAGCATATATAAGTAAAATTCGACAAATATAAATTAAGTTCAACAAAAATAACTATAAAACTTCATTCATCTTAAGGAAAGAGATATATGCCAAAGTAAAATTGTCAAGTTGCAACAGCCACGGAGCCACCATGAGTCAGCACAACAACACACTTTCCCTAAGAAATCAATGAGTGGTCTTGCCATTGATTTGCATAAGTCTTTCCTAGTGATAGAAGGATTATCCACAACCATCGTACTTCCTACATCCTACCCTACCTCAATGAATCAAATTTCGACAATGAGATTTCGAACCGGCTAATTATATGTGCAGAAAATTCAAATACATAGTAGTTCAAAATCTAATCATACAGAAAAAGGGGATTAATTTACCTTAAAAGCATCAGTTTTGCCTTTGGTGATCTGATTTTTGGCGATACAGCTATTAAGAACATCCTTGGTGAAATCATCTGGATTCTTCCCATCATCAATCAAACTAACAACACCAAAACAAATTCAAGTAACTAAAAAAGAACGAAAAAAAAATTTGAAAATTGAAAAAAAAAAAAGCAAATAAATCTAAAATAATTGGAAGCAATTACTAAATTAGGAAAAATACTGACTTGAGAACCTCCATAGGAATCTGAATATTGCAATTTCCAGACAATTTCATCATATTATCAAGCTCCATCACCAAAGAATTTCTAACAAAACAGAAAAACCCTAAATCTTTAGAAAAATCGTCAAAATTCAGAAAAATTGAGAAAATTAGGGTTAAAGGAGAGAGAAAGTACATGCGTTGAAGGAGAAGAGGCTGAGAGGTGACATTGAAGGAAGAGACAGTGAGGTAAAGCTGATGAAGAAGGCCCAAAGTTTTGTCAATGGAATTGGTGACGTCACTGAGCTTTTGCTTCGCATCATCCGAGGTCGTTCCTTCATTGCTGTTGTTGTTTCCTGCTGCGTTTTGGGCGGAATCCATGGATGAGTTGTTCTGGTTTCGATTTCAGAAAGTTGTTCCAATTTTTGCACAACTTCTTCTAGAATTCTGGTTTTGATTTCGGGTATTTTTTGGGCTTACGATTGTTTTGGGCTTTGGATACAAAGGCCGTCAAAGGGGAGAAAATTTAGTGGCAAAAATTTACAATATGCGTGTATCCAAAGCACATCAAAAACGTTTATTTAGTACTACTTTTATAAATAAATCAACAATTTTTTATTAAAAGTAGGCAATAAAATTTAGAGAAAATCAAATATCTAAACGCTAGGGATTAGGATCCAAATACAATCATGATAGACATGCTAAATTGGGGATAATCGGATCAATTAAACATTGCAAGGACTAATGGTATTTGCTATTGAATGAAATCGAAAGGTTACCTCCTAATCGTCAAACTAGGTCTCCACTATGAATGACAAATTAGGAGGATCACAATTCAAATCATTCAACAAATGCAAATCCTAAATCGAGTGGTCATGTCTAGGTTTGTGGTTTGAAAATTACGGTGTGGTTTTTGAAAATCATCAAACCGTGGTTTGCGGTTTGGTGCGGTTTCCAAAAAAATTTAGACCAAACCACACTTTAATGCGCTTTACGATTTTTATACTATATTTTTATTTTAAAAATATAAAAGAAATAAAACATATGAGATAATCTTTGAGTATTGGCTAATTAAAGGTTATAAAAAAGAGTCTAATATTTGAATTGTAAATTAATAACTACAAAATAAAATAAAAGTTTTGTTTTAAAAAAATATGGTTAAACCGCAAAACGCACTGCACCAAACCGTATTTTGCAGTGCAGTTTGGTTAGAAATGTGATTTGGTGCGGTTTGAAAAAATACAAACCGCAATTTTGCAGTTTGGTGCGGTTTAGGATCCAAACCGCACTGGGAACACCCCTAGTCGTGTCATTAGGAATTACAATACAATCTAGCTTGGCTATTTAGGTTAGCTACTCCTATCAAACCAAAACACATGCACAATTCCATTAATCAATTTAATCACAACCATTAATCAATCGAAATCCCAAATTAACAACAATCCATCAATCATACATGCTTCCCCTTCACCCTAGCTAAACAAACTACTCACTAAGCATATTGAATTGAAGGAAGAAGGCTAAGAAAATCATCATCATCATCACCATAATTGCAATTGTAATCAAAACTAAATCAATCAAGCTATCAAAATCAAACAATCAAAATAAACTTGGAACTGCATTAACAACAAAATTAAAGTGCAAAGAATTGAAAGTATGAAGTAGAAGAATCTCACAAAATTGATGATCAAAAGGAAATTGAGCTTGAATTGAATTGAAATGAAGATCAAGGTACATGACTTGTTATGCTTTTGTGCTTTGGATTGAATCAAGAACCAAGGAGGTTTGATTCCACATTTGCTAGCATATGATATATAAGGCATAGCTTCGGAGGAAATTTGCTTTGAAAAGTTTAATTGGGTCATTTGTGGGTATTTACACCCACCTATTTTATTAAATGTTGATTTATTTACGAAAATGTCATGCTAATTGAGATTTTATGTTGATTTATTTACATAAATGCCAATAGATAAACGTTTTTTGTTTATCACAAAGATAAATTGGAGCTCACTCATCAAAGGATATAATGGTAAGCTGGTAGACAAGATACAATTCGCTTAATTTGATTAAAATTTTCCAATCTAATCTAATCTGATTAATCTTTGAAATTATACTTTTTAACAAACTTTTACAATTATGCTCTTGTGATATGTTGTTATATTCCCCTCAATTTATAATTTTTATGTTGATAATTAAATATATTAGTGATTGAAATAATGTATTGACAAGCATGAAATAAAAAGTGATGGATTTTTAGGGAACAATAAGTCTTTGTGTAAGGCGGGTGTATGTTAGTTTTATAGTAAGACGTTCAGTTTGAGGGTAACTTTAACTATTATTATGGTAACTTTAACCCCTTAAAGTGTAACTTTTAATTTGTTGATGGTTTGAATTTTATTTTAATGTGTAATTTTTTATAGATTCATGTTAACATACTACAAAGGCTAATATGATTAATCTAATACATTGTAAGTTTTTTTTAAGATAAAACTAGATTTAAGCCCGTGCGATGCACGATTTTTTATTTTTTTTATACATTTATTTTAATCTATAGATCTCTATAATATTTTTATTTTTATTCTAATTTATTTTTTATAAATCGAGGAAATAAAGATTTTTTTTTACATAAAGTCTATTTTTTTTAATTATTAAATATTTAGTATATAAATCTCTATAATATTATGATAAATTTTTATTAGAAATGTATGGTTTTTATTTTTCATGTAATTTAAAATGTGATTTGATTTGTTGATGACACTTAAATTAATCAAAAGTAAAATAAAGTTTAAAAATCTGTTTACATTATATTTATCGGATATTTGGATAAAATCTCTAATGTCAAATGACAATTTTTTTTTTCCTTTTTAATTATATAAATCCTCAATTAATATTCGTTGTTTTTTAGCTACTTCGAATTGAATTTAAATTCTTAATTCTCATTTGCTAATTTTTTTTAGGTGGGGAATGAATTTTTTCTATTCTAAAATAAAATATAAATCTAATTTTTCGTTGGTCGAAATAATAACTTTGCTGATGTGGTGCGTCGAATGCTCCCGAAAAATGTCTACTTTATTTATATACTAGTTTTGTACCCGGGCAATGTCCGAATTGTTGATAAAATTTTAGGATAAACTTTTTAGTTTGAATGTTAAATATAATCATATAAACCCTTTTGATAATGCGGAATATATAAACATAGATATCACATCGCTTATATAAATAATAGTTTACTTTTTGTAGTTTTATTTGTAAATAGGTATCTATGTAGTTTTATTAACTTGAAATTATTTGTATTTTTACCGAACTAAGATTATATTTACTGATTCTCTATTATATAAAATTAAATATATTATAAACGGATCTTATTTTATAGAACTTTTTTCAATGATGGAAATATAACCGAGTTTTAGGATATTTATTTAAAGTTATGATTAATTTTGTATATATGAAATATTATAATATCAATAGTAAAACTCTATACAACATGTTTATCTTAAAAAATCTATCCAAAATTGCTTACTTAGCATCATATGTGCTATAATAATACCTACTTGTTGTCTACGCGGCACGACACTTAGCGAAAAACTGGTATGCCAAGTGTCGATGTGTGACACCCCCAAATCCCTCTCTACGGAAATACTAATATAATACGTATAATTATACCGTAGAGAGACTTAGGCGTATTACCGCCGCGTGATTTCGCAAGGCTACTCAAAATACTTAACTCAATAGCAAACTTGCAGTAGAAAACTCAACTCTTCTTTTATTAATACTTATAAAATAGTAACCATTGTTATGAGTACTCAAAATAAAGACAAAAACCAACATTCCCTAATCTAGGTGAAGCAAATCCCGAAACTCCCATATGCTCAATCGTGACTCCACCTGAAATAGTCAACACTGCTTACCATTAAGGTAAACAGGGCGAACCAAAACAAATAGGAAATACGAATTAGCAAAAATATGTTAAGTACGATAAGTGCAAGATAAGTAAACTCAATTTATTAGCAAACATGCTTTTAAAAGAGGTTGTCCCAATTGATTAGAGAAAATGTTTATCTCATAGTTGTTGGCCCACTTAATGTTGACACATGGGCAAAAAGTTAAAGTATTTGTTAAAAGCAAGTGGAAAGCAAGCAGTGCGGTCCTAACTCTGGAATTGACGGCCGTTTACTTCCGTTAGCTGTTAGTAGTTGATGCTTAACCATGGTTAAACACTACTTTTCAATTTCCCCTCTTTCAATTTTTCAATGTAGGGTTCATAGGTTTAGTCGACAAGCGTTTCTAGAGGTGTTCATGGAACTCGGCGATTGAAAGCGGCTTTATAATGTGTGGCTTATGGTTGCTAATTTAGGTACGACTTACTATCCGTAACATTTTACAATTATTTGGGGTTGTTATCATCGTTGTCTGATTAATCTATTTCTTGGTCGTTTCTAATTTGCTGGGTTTGATAAGTTTGGTGTCACATTTTGTATGTCATTGTATGAAAATTTGTTGTCGGCGTATTAGTATGTGTAGCTCTACACATATGTTCTTTTCTGTATTGCAAATTGTGTCTGCGTATTTGATAATTTATGATCTATTTCATGATTAGTTTGCTACTTGACATTGTATATTCAAGTCTGTTATTTATATATGGTTATTTGATTTATTCACAGACATTGGATACATTTTTTGGGGGTAGTGGTGTATTTGATTTGGTTGTTAGTCAGATTAATTAGTTGAAATGATTGGAAGTACTGCAGTAGATGTTGAAGGCTCTCCTGATCGGGATTGCATAGAGGTGGTACTATCTATGTCCCCCGTAGTAGATGGTAGGGGATGTGTAGATGACAGTTGTTATAGGACCCCAATTAGGACAGTAAAGACTGTACACACCGTTGTTTCGAGTAACAAGGTAACAGTTGTGTCTTATGTAGAACCCCCCCAGGAAGGAATGGTTTTTAAATCATGGCAGGATGTTGAAGCTTATTACGAGGAATACGCTGAACAAAATGGTTTTGGTGTGACCAGGATTCGGGGCTCATATACTAAAGAAAAGGAACGTAGGGCGACTAAATGGCGTTGTGAATAGTGAGGTAGACCTGACATGAGGTCGGTTAGGGTGGCGAAGAAGAGAGCCAAAGAAATGCAGGACTGTGGTACTGGTGGGGTATTGGTGGGGTATTGGTGGTGTAATTGGAGAGGATGAGCTGAGCCGTTGTAAGCGAAAATTAAAGAAGTGTGAGTGCAAGGCAAGGATATATGCAAGTGTGAATGGGGAGGGTGAGTGGGTGCTTAAGACTGTAGTGTTAGAACATAAACACTTGATAAACCCGAGTTTTGCAAAACTGGTTAAGGAGTACAGAATGAAGAATTACTCATATACTGTTAGGAAGAGGTTAATGAATTATTATGATTAGGGTGTTCAGTTAAACAAATCCATGGATGTCTTGGGATTGAAATGGAAGAAAACATGTCTATGACTGTGAAATATTTACAACACGAGGTTTATAAGGAGCGTAAATCTAAGATGCAAGGGGGTGATTCAGTTGCCATGATGTCATATTTTGAGTATATGATGGTCGATAATCAAAAAAATTTCCATGCAAATAGGGTTGATGATGATGGTCGGTTGAAAGATGTTCTGTGGGTTGATGCTCATAGTCGGGCTGCGTACGAGTGCATTGGTGATATAGTTTGTTTTGATGTCACCTACCTTACTAACGAGTACGAATTGCGCTTTCTTAATTTTGTGGGGGTGAACCACCATGGGCAATCTCTTTTGCTTGGCTATGCACTTGTTTCTCACGAGGACACAGAAACTTTACGTTGGGTATTCCGCCAATGGCTGACCTGCATGGGCGGCAAAGCACCAGTAGGATTTCTTACCGATCAAGCAACTGCTATACGTAAACCTTTGGCTAAAGTCATGCCTAATACTAGGCACAGGTAGTGTATTTGGCATATCCCATCCAAATTTCATGATAAGTTGGAAAAATTACCTTTGTAAGTGATCCTCCTATAATTATTGTATTTTTCAAATGTAGCTCGAAATTCATGTTCTTTAGTGTGTCATTCAATGTTATGCCTACAACAGAGCATGCTATTGTTTGAAATCCATTTTTCCTTTACATGCTTGTTTTCTAAGAATATGTTAACTTCCCTGTTTATTTGTTAAACAACTATGTTTGTTTTCAAATATCATTTAATGGTCTAAAATCTGTTTGAAAGTTTTAGGATATGTGTATTAATAGTCCAAAATTTGGTTGAAAGTTTTAGGATATGTGTATTAAAAAACTAAGTATGTCTTCAAATATCATTTAATAGCTCGGTTCTGGTGTTTAAGTGACCATTGATAAGTTGTGAATTTTTAGGCTTCTTTGGGTTATGTTGTGAATCTTTCTGGCATCATTGTGGGCAGGTATAACGAGTTTAAGAACAAGCTAAAATTTGTTGTATATGAGAGTTTTACTACTGATGAGTTTAAGAAGAACTGGAGTGCCTCAATCAAGCAGTACAATCTTGAAAGTAATGAGTGGTTGTCTGGTTTGTATGAAGAAAGGCACATGTAGGTGCCTTCATTTATGAACGAGTTTTTTTGGGCAGGCATGAAAACGACACAGAGAGTGGAGAGCATAAATAGCTTCTATGATGGATTTGTTAACCAGAAAACCAAGTTGTTTGAGTTCCCAAGGCAATATACTCGAGCTTTGACGAAGCGTGTGAAAGATGAAGTGGATGCTAATGATAACTGCTCCAAATATATTAGGCGGTTGATTAGTGGATTTAAGTTGGAGACGGTCTTTCAAAGGCTATACACTGACAGAAAATTTCAAGAGGCTCAAACAAAGTTAGAATGGTTGATGTATTGTTATTGCCGTGATGAACGTAGGTTATCTGATACCGTTGTGCAATACCTACTTGAGGATCACGTGTGGATTGTATCACCTGGCCATAGTCATGAGATACTCACTGATCGAAGACGGTTTTACCGCGTTACCTTTGACACCGTCACCAAAGAAGTAGAGTGTGATTGTCGTAAGTCGAGACATTCGACATAATGTGTAAGCACAGTATGCGTATTCTAGATCAAAATCTGGTGTTTGACATCCCTCAAAAATATATCCTTACTCGATGGCGCAAGGACATTGTGCGAAGACACATGAGGGTTAAAGTTCCCTATCATGACCCTTCCCTTTCTGTGCCAGTTAAAAGGTTTAACAAGATGCTGACTGCCTTTGAGCCAATTTCCGACATAGCTTCTATAGTTGACAATGCAGCCGTTGAGATTGTTCTGCAGACTCTTGCGAAATTGAAGGCTCAAGTCCAGAAGCTAAAAAAGAAGAAAGATGAACTCAATCCACTTCCAGAAGTTGTTGCTTTCCCTAGTGGACCCGATCCTTCGCAACCAAAGTCAGCAGATGCAGCTTTTACAATGTCTTCTGTAAGAAAACCAGCTAGTGAAGAGAAGGATGTTGAGGATGCCGCCTTAGAGGAGGATGATGATGATGCAGGGGATGATCATTATATGTTGGATGCCATTGAGCACCCTATAGTTGATCTCTCAGCAGACGATGATTCAAACCAACCAGGATTTCTTGATGCATTCAATGCATCTGACAAGTAGAGTACTCCTACTGGCATTGACCTTGTCATAACAAAGAAACGCAGAGGACACCCACCTAAGGCGGTTGTTGCGAGGATCCAAAATGGTACTGTTGCAGACCCTGTTCCTAACCAATCAGGTGTTGAGGACCCAAACCAACTCCTAGGGTCTGAAGAAGCCACTGCAGTGAAATCACTTGCCAATCAAAACCTCACACCTGTTCATGATCCTGTTAAACCACAGAAGCGTAGGGGACGGCCACGAAAGGCCTTGGTTGGTGACTACGCCACTACTGTTCACCATTCCACACCTGATATTTCAGCAAATATTTCTCCATCTCAACCATACCAATCATGTAGTGTTAGAAAAGCTATCTCAACTAAAAATCCACCAACTATTCTTGACCCAATTAAACTAAAAAAGCGTAGAGGAAGGCCAAAGGGTAGCCGCAACAAAACATTGGCGGAGAAAGGGTATAAGAAGGACGGACCAAAGGAGAGACACACGATGTAAGTGCCACCTTTAGCACGTGTTTTAACATTTAATATTTACCATACTAATGCAGTGTCATATAATGCTTTGTAATTGTTTTGTATGGTACAGCCTGCCACTCAATTTATACTGGACACCTTCTACCCAGCCTCATTCAATGGCTTATCTATGGTAAGCGTACTACCCTGCAATAGTAATAGTGTTGACATTTTTAAGCTGCACATAAATAACATCAAGCTCACTCAATCTTTTGCAGTCCAAAAGAAGATGCCTACTGTCTGATCATGTGAATAAAAATGATCCCTTTCACCTGGAGCTGCAGCAATGGGAGACTGACTTTCAGCCGGAGATTCAAGCAAGTCGGTTGAGTTTTAATGTAATATAGGTCTAGATCAGTTTGTACATCTACAGGTTTCCCTTTGCGTTTGTATTTGCCTTGTAGACTGTGGTTAATTTCACCTGCATGGTGTTCTACATCTAATTACTTTTAGTACTGATGGTATTACGTACGAATTATGATTTGACTTCTTATTACTAGTATTGGGTGTTCGCGTTGTAAACTACCATACACCTTGATCTTAAAGTCGGGCCCTTATTCATGACAGAATCAGTTAGTAATTTTGGCCCAAATTATTGTGGCCTAAAAAAAATAGGCTTGCCCATTTAACTATGGTTGCTTAATTCAACACTTTTAGATAATTACTCTGTATGTCTAAAAGCCTTTTTTAAAAAGTGGACCCAATCCTAAATTTGGCAACATTAGTTCCGGCCTTATTCCCACACATATGATGGACTGATTCACTTGAGTTTTGACTATTTTTTTATGTTTGGGGCTGGTATTTTAGAGACATTCGAACAATGTTAACCTGCATAGGAATTTAATAACTCTTAAATTTCCACATAAAAACACCTTCATTACCATTACTAATCTCCATAATATATTACAAAGTTGGCTAACATGCCACAAAAGAAACTAGATCTCACAGCAGATTAATACATTCATGCCCAATCTAGCATAGCGCAACGTCTTGATCTTTTCCCATAAACACAACTTCATTACAATAACCTAGATCACAAAGACAGGGAAAAAAAAAAGAAAAAAAATAAAAAAAAAACCACAGATACTAACGGCCATAGAACATTCCTAACAAATAGTAGCAACACCAATATCAAACCATAAAAGGCGACACAACAGCAAAAGGTTGCCACTACAAAAGATGGGTATGACCCAGCAAGCTTTAGAAATCCTCGTTCACAACTGAGACTGGCAAGGCAAACACCTCGTACTTGTTCTTGATCTTAGCTTCTCCAATTGTCTGAATGCTGGTAACGACCTCATTCTCATACATGACCACCTCTTTGCCTTTTCTTCGTTGATAGTGGCCCCCCACATGATGTACAACCTGCGTAGTGGAGTACTCAGCTTTGCTAAAACCATTTTCTTCCTAGGAGTAGTCATGACATCTCTAATCCAGATAGTTTGCGCCTCACATTCATGTTGTCTTCCGGGTCCTGTCGATAAGTGGTAATTTTGTTTTAATTGACAAGATAAAAACAAGAAAATGACAAGATAAATTAAATAAGAACATCATTATCAACAATACCAACTTCAATTGGTGTACAGCAAGGTGATAGAGGGACATTCCTCTTTTTGATGGTTAAATCTTTCTTGTTCTTGTAATCAACCCTCATAGCATAATCCTCATACACAGCTTCAAAGGTTTGACTCTCCCTTATGTTGTATTTCACCCCAATGTCGCGAAGTGAGTCACTTTTCACCGGTACAGTGAAAACCAACTCACTCAAGATCAACTTCGATGTCTACATCTTCATCTTCGTCGTCAACAATAGGGTTTTGAACCTTGAGTAACTGCTGAAGAGTAATGTTTCCTAGTGTAGTTGCACCAGAAATCAGCAATTGTTGCAAGGTAAGATTCCCCCATGCAGATAGAGCAGCACTAAATATTTGCTGGAGGTTTATGTTATCCCATGCACCATCCTGACCAAGAATAGGTTCTGCGGTTGCCTGTACCACCGATCCTTCCCAATATGCAGCTGCATTCGTAATAGCTGAACTCCATAAGGTAACTATGTCAGATGATTTTGGTCGAGTTTGTACTATATTGGTTACTCTATTTTCTTAAAAATAAAAAAAATTTAATATATTATTTTTTTGTATAAAATAAAGGAAAAAAAATGAAATTCCAAAACAATGGATTTGTTACACGAAAACAGACGTTGTGGACTGTAGATTAAAGGAATCAATAAACTCAGAAGCATTCTTAATGTATGGTGGGTATTGTCTAAACCATGGTAAAAAGGACGATCACTTTTTACCCTTTTGTAGAGTTGAAGTCTTGGAAATGAAATTATCTAATACTACAAGCAACATGCAACAGTAATACTTTTCACAGCTAATGGTATGGTGCTTTCAGCTGATTGAATACATAATTTGTATACAGTCTGCATTGCAATAAATACTTATAGGTTGTAGACTACAATTTCCATAATTACCCGTGCAAAGTACTGTAACAAAGATTACAACAATATACTTTGGCTATTTTCGTACATATTTCAAAGGGTTATGCTAGGGTTAAAGGTTAGACCGTTCACATGCCAAGTCAGCAACATGATTTTATAATTATTTTTTTTTGCCAAAATTGGGTTCTCTAAATACGAACTTCAACACATTATAATTTCACCAACTACAAACTTCACCCTTACAAACAGAGCCATAACTCTTCACTGAAAAAAAAAAAAAAAAACAGAGCCACAACTCCACTTCATCTAAACTAATCACTTTCATCAGTAACAATGGCCTCGTTCGATCCATCCAAACTAGTTTTCCTACTGGTTGCTACCTAGGCATAACCACTGAATAGCTGACTTTTTGGGAGCCAAATTGGAACACCAGCAATGAGATTGACTTCAACTCCTACAAGTACTATGTGGAAACAGAGAACGGGCAGCTCCTGCGCTTGAAGGATGAAGTCCTTCGTGACATTTTCCGGTCCCTGAGAGTCCATGGGATCATCTTGAGTGGTCCATTGATGAGAGTGTTGGTCTCAAGGCCGGTTCCATAGTGATGTGGGATAAGACTCGTGCCTTTGATAAGGAAATTCTGATCTTAGAGACACCAACTTGTCCACTCCGAATTGTGGCGTTAATTAAGCCAAGTATCCTATTAATTATTAATTGTGATGAGATTAGTGCTGAAAGTTGATCAGTAATTTTTTATTAACATTTTTCAATGTCCAGGCTGGTCAAGAACCTAAGACTGAATCTTTTATCCGAATTCTGAAATTTTGTAGTATCCAATATTTGTCATCTAGAATTGATTAACTTAAAAATGTGTTGAGAGGCATTAGTAATAAAAGTTTGAAAGTAACAAGAATTGAGTAACTTAAACAACATAATAAAACTGAAGTACTTAATCCAACACATAATGGGCTGAATTAACAGTACTGGAGTAATTGATTACACATGTAAGTATGTACCGAAGTATTCTATTCATCAACCATCATTTACAAAGACATTGGTTGCATAGGACATTGGTTGCAATGAGTAAGTACCCAACCTCCTTATACCGATAGCTGACGGTGAATACTACTATCATGAGCCCGACGTTGACGTTGCAAACAAGATGGATGTGCGGACACTGCACGTTTCATTGTGTAGTCCTAATGAAGGCGGCCCTAGATTTGTTTTTCCGTATAAAGCTATGAAAGTCGGGCCAAACGACGTTAGGCCCGCGTACATGCCCAACATTTCCGATGCTGATGCCTACATGCACAAGGGTGGGGTGGTCTTTATGCGTTGGTTTTGTAAGCGTCACTGCCCAGAGATTTCAGAGTATATCCCTAGGGATCTCATACCGATATTTGATATGAAGATTCTTATAAACCCGGATGAGTTGCCCGTGTTTACGTTGCTAGTTATGCCACGTGATTTATTTTTTGGGGCAAATAAGCATGGTGTTCATGTCATGGAAATCTAAACTAACCTGTCTGTTGTGACCTTGACTGTTGAATCACATATTACGCAGCTATGCAATGCCCGATATTACAAAGTAAATGTGAGCTCTGAAATTGCAGATACGTACTCTAATATGAAGAAATTTCCGATAGGGGTTGTCGCTGTAGTATGGAATGCTAGGTGTGTGCATAGGCCTTCCTTTGAAAAAAAAATTAAGCGACTTCACGACAGTTTTGTGCCTATGAGTATTTTGATGACTGAGGCTAGAACTGCAGAAAACTGGATGGAGAGTGTAAGGAAAACAATGGTTGGTCGGTACAGGATCGAGTCTTTCGGAGCAGATTGCGACTTAGGAGGCGTTCTGTTAGCTTGGGATAACAAGGTAGAGCCGTATTTTACTCACAGGCAAGCGACCCTCTACGGCGATATTCTATCATTAACAACACTTGTTAGCCACATGTTTGCCAAATGTTAATTCCTTGTTGTTATAATTTAATAATAAGCTAATCTATTTAAATTTAATGTTGCAGCCCACTTACAAGCTCTTTCCCCAACCACCTGGACTACTGCCATTGTGAAGAGAGAAACTCTTTTGCCCAATACTAGAGTTCTCTAGTATTAGCATCATTAGAACATGTGTTACTAGTAAGTGGTGTTACGTAGCAATGTTGTTCTATGTGTAAGGAAACTATTTCTGCATTTAACCTTAAGATTTTTTGTGGGACATGTCCCCACAAAAGGAAAAAAAACAAAAAAAAGAAAACAACCTCGGCTTTCCTCCAACCATTTAAAAGAAAACAACCTCCAAACCTATACGATAATATCACACTTTCCTCCAACAAAAGAGTGAGAGCGAATCAGAATTTATTGTCAATACAAAAACTACAGACTGCAGTAACTACATCGCACCCAATTGTAGGTGTTACCAACCTTGGATAAGGGCTAATTGGCGTACTAAAGAGCCCTCTGCTAAGTCCAGATGGGAATCTGGAGCTAAAAGTAGTTGCTGCCTCAGAAGTTGCTGGTTGGATTGCAACACTATGTGCCATGGTTATTATAATGAAAGATAACAAGGTCTACCCAGCTTACTTGCCCGACCTCTCTGATTTAGCTCTCTTACCTGCTGTGTTGAAGACGATGGTGAGGAAAGTTCTTGAAGCAGAGGGTGGTGCTAAAGGTTTAGGTGTGCAGCACATAATCAAGGTCTATAAAGGCATTGGTCGACCCAACTTCAGAGATTCCAAAGGTAATTGAAAGATGTTGCCTGATGCCGGGTAAGCATTCCTTAATTGGGAACAGCTACAACTGAGTGTGGTGCACAATTAAGACGAATGGGGATGGCATCTACCTGGCTCTCTAAGAACTCGATTGATGGAAGAACTCAGTTGGAATTCACGGTAGAGGCGCTTAAAGAAGGAACAACAACGGCTACATTTGTTATATGGAATTGCAGGGTTATGGCTCGCTAAACCTTCTTACCGAGTCTCTCATTGCTGGTTGAAATGCAAATGCCGGATGTGATTGTCTTGACTGAAACCCGTGTATCAATACACATGGCTCGGGTTATCTGTCAAGGCATTTACATACACAGGATACGTGGGAGGTCAAGGGTTGGTGTACTAGGTGGGTTAGTCATAATATCCTTCAACAAATGTTTCCGTTTTGAAAAGATTGAACAAGAACCAAATTATTGTTCGTGGAAAGTATGTGTTTAATGTAGGACTCTATGCTCAAGTCTTTTTTTGGGGCCTCAAAAGGAATAGGTGTATTAGGATTCCATGAGCGGATATCTAAAAGAATGGGTCTTTAAAAAGATCCAAATGTAGGGCGTTTTTATGTTATCACTGTAATGTATTGAGTAGTGGATGAATATTAATGAGAAGTAGCCGTATTTATGTTATCATTGTAATGTATTGAAAAGTGGATGAATATTAATGTATTGAGTAATTTAATGAGTAGTGGATGAATATAAATGTGAAGTATAACATTTTATCATAATATTGAACAAAGGTTATGGGCCACTATTTAAAAATAACAGTTTGAGGCCCAATTATAACATTTTATCATAACAGTTTGAGGCCCAATTACAATAACAACAATCCATTTCAATATTGAACAAAGGTTATGGACCACTACATGTTTAACATATATGCCTTTCAATTACACTAATTTTCCTCTATTACCATAATTATGATAACTGGTTGTTTAACTTGATAACCACATAATATCTTATTACTTTATATCTACGTTTGTAAATAAGTAATGTAAGTGTTACTAGTAAAATAAATGCATAACATGACACACACAAACACATATCATAAAAAAAGAAGTCAAGAAGTTCAGACTCAACACAATGAAGTCTTAAGAAATAGCCACAGCATCAGCAACTAACCAAATATCCGATTCCACCAGAGTTACTTACGTCTCAGAGGGTTGTTACATATTTGCCTAGTCCTCCAATAAGAAAATGTGTTGCTCCGACATAAGTACATTTGCAGCAGTTTCACCAAACACGAAAGCTGCCCAAGCTACAAAAAATTTGAAAAAGACCCAGTACACAAGGCAAACCAGCTATACAAAGTAATGATAAAACAAACGTAGAGTAATACCTCATTGATCAGGAATCCAACAGTAATAGACTGAATTCCAGACTCCAATATGATTGCTTCACAGTGACGAAGTGAGATGAAAACAGCTAACGGTTTAAAAGACATATTGTTCGATGACGTTATGAATACAACCTTTTTCAAACAGTTGGGAAAGAACACTGTGATTTCACACCGGTCTATTATTGGATGAATTTCAAGAGAACGCCCTATGAATATTTTGAATCGAGGGCACAAATAAGACCCTGCGCGAACGACGATTTGACCGACCTGTTGCACACAAATATGGGACGTCAAGACCATGGCAAGCCCAACAAGGTGAAATTTAGGGTGCAGTTCAATACACTTATACACCCGAGAAGCAGAAATCCCATTACGTATACAATCGGCCCAGCAATTGGGGTGTTCACGTACCCCAGATTATGCCTTATCACGCTTACGCATGAACGGAGTTTTATCGGTCGTTGCTCGCCTCCTCTTCCTTGACCTCAAATGTGCAAGACAATCACCCTGATACAGGTATATGTTGTGAAGACTTGTTCTTAAACAAAGCAAAAATTAGGACATCATATTTTCAGGAGTGAATACCTGCTCAATCTGTGTTGGCGCTTCGATGTCTCTGGAACACCTTGGGTGATGCTCACCATACGCAACATCTAACATCTGCAATCTCAAACGGGAAAATAACCATTACCAAGCTTTATCATCAACTACAAAAATAGTAACAAACTTGTTATACTAACCCCCAATTTCCCAAAGTCTCCAGTCACCGTACTTCGATCAGCTCTACAAGCATTGCGGATTAGCTTCATACTCCAAACCTTAATACAAGGAAACACACCCCAATCTACAGGGCTTCTGTTCAACCTATCCAAATAGAATAACTACATACAAAAATATGGGGTTGAAATGAGTGAAGGGAATCGTAGACATAAACTTCAACTGAAAAACAAACACAAAATACGTACCACAACAAAAATAGAACAACCACCACAACTGACCGCATAACCAGAAGCATAAAATCGGCAGGCAAAACTGGAAACCGATTCCATCAGGTTATCAAGCACAAGACCACACCAGTCATAGCTTGCACAGTTCTTGGCACATATGTTAAAGCAGGAATCAAGTCAACTGCTAGTTGAGGAGACTGTGTGGGGCACAACACCAAATAAAGAGCTACTAACAAAAAAAGAGTCTTAAGTTCTTCTTCCTGATCCTCCTCCCAAACACCCTCCAACATATCCATTATCTTTGAATCAACAGGAATACTTGTAGAGTAATACACACGACCACATTCCCTGGAAGATTTGCTCTGCAATGACTTACCATACTTACCATGTATTTCATTAACCTTTTCCCTCTTCTCAAAATTCATAGTTTTGTAACTAGGAACAGGAAGACCACCATTGGGTATACCAAGGACCCATTGCACCTGATTCTTGGAGAACCAGAACTCCTTTCCATCACAACCGATTAATTTCCTAGAAATAGGATCTATGTGCGACATTAACCAGTAACCAATCCGCCTAGGAAGTTGCAAGTCATCAGGGATGCTCAACAACCCACCAAAACCCATCTCTTTAACCCAAACACATCGTCTGGTATCAAATCTCTGACATATCCTCCCAAACGACTCAATACGACATGTCAAGTTAGGAGGCTGAAAAATTCAGTATAAACATAACTTCAGCCAATAGAGCAATCATTAATTATAGATTAAAAAATACCAGACAAACATTACCCGACTACTACTTCTCCTACGTTCTGAAAGCACAACCTGATTTTCTTTCACACTCCCACCAACAGACAATGCATTATCCTAAATCACAAGGGATGACATTACCATCTTCAACAGTCAATGAAAAACATCATAATACACAATTAACAAACATTGAACCGTATATATTCGATCAATACCTGGAACAATCCGGGAATAATTGAAATTTTCTGTATCTCAAATCAGTCCCTAAAGCCTTACCATCTCCCCCCCAACAAAAACATACCATGTTCTTAAGTACGATAATCATATAAGTTTCGCAATAGTCAAAAACGACTGAAGAACCAATGCACACCCATGAATCAGTTTCGCAATTAGTCAAGGTAGGTTAATTAAACACCTACAAAGCCAAATTGGAATAAAAGTGGCAGATTGTTCAACAACAGCTGAATGATTCATCATCTCTAATCGCCAAGGAAATCGAGCAAAATCGACAATTCAAAAACTCGTTTTTCAAATCAAACAATTGAAATTCGTAACAAGCAAAATCAGCAATCCTAAAACTCGTTTATCAAAAGGGATTTCCTGATGGTCAAATTATATTAAACAATTCAAATTCTAAATCAGCAAATTCTTCAACAATGTCAACTCGTATTTCAAATTAAAGTGCGGATTTTCAACATTAACAATTAAAATTCAAAATCGGGGCAAAGGAATTTAATCATTAACGAGGCGCAAAGGAATTAAGAACGACGAAATTCGACGATTCTGATACCTGTTCAATTGCGGGCTTCATTGATTTTGCGTCCACCCACCGGAAGAATGTGACTCCGAGAACAATCACCGTCCGACAAATCACAGTACATGGAATTTTTCGACAAACCGGGAGTTGAATTTGTTTGGCGTTGGAAAATTCGTTTGCATTCAATTCCTTCCAGTTCCTTAACCAGGGTTAAGTATTGCTCTTCTCAAGCACAGTTATATCAACTTGACGGGGAGTTACCCAACGTCAACAGCTGTGGCTTCCTATTTCCAAAGGTACCCCATCATTTAAAGAGCAAAATGACATTACTACCCCAGGATAAATGCCAGAAGTTTAGACCTGTATATAAACTTGAATTTTCCCCTTCTAAAACCAATCGTGAAATTCCAATATTTATTTCAATAATTCCAAACCTTATAATTTAAAACCAACTCTCAAGATTCTCAAAATAATTCCAATAACTCAATACTCAAAATTCAATAAATATCAATTTTGTTTTCAAAGCATTGAAAATCCATTCCTTTATTCCAATTTCCTATCCTAAGTGTGCAGACCCCCCAAGTTAGTTTCTTTATATTAAAGGAAAAATTCATGGGAATAATCCCACCTTAGATTATCATTTAATAATCCGACCTTTGGGTGCCTTTAATTTTTATTGGTCCCATTTTGACCAGAAACCGGTTAATGGGTAAATTTTTTTTTTTTAAGTTTAATTTACACGTGTCACAATTTGATTTGTCCAAAATTCAAAAAAAAAAAAAAAAAAAAAAAAACCACCACCCCTGCCACCACCTTCCCCACCATCTTGCCACCATTCCCTCTCCTCCTCCCCTTCACACAGCTCCCCTCTCCCCCAGCCCAGAAATCGGTCGGTCGGCGTCCAGATCACTCACAGCCGGCCGACCCACCCCCTATTACTCCGACCTCCCCTTAACCGTCGCGCCACCCATCCAAACGAACCCTAACCCGCGAAAACCGCAACCAACCTCCACCTTCACGAACTTCAGTTCTGATTCCACTCCTTCCCGACCACCGCAGCCCCGAAACCACCCTTTATCATGTTCTCCGGCCCCCATAAACCTTATTCCCCCACCCAACACCACCAAAAATCGTTTTAGCTCAAAAAACCCGAAACCCGAAAAAGGGGGTGCAGTGGTGGCGGTGAAGTGGCGGTGCATCGGTGGCTTTAATTACTGCCTGGTGGTGCGTGTGGGAGTAGCAAAATGAGCTGCTGCGATTGTTTGCTGGGTGGTATGAGGTGGTGTTGACTGTGGCTGCTGTGGTGGCAGTGAGGGAGCAGGGTTGTGAGTGAGGGAGATGCGGGGGTGGTTCGGTGCTGCTATTGTTGGTTGGGTGGTGATGGTAGTGTAAGAGCAGGGGTTCGGAGTGGAGCCGTGTGTGGAGGTCTGGTAGGGTGGGGTCAGCTGGGTTAGCTTACGGTGGTTACGGAAGGGAAGGTGGTGGATGGGGGTGGTCATGTTGGGTTGCCCATGGATGAAGATAGTAAGGTGGGAAGAAAGAGAATAAAGGATTTTTTTTTCTTTTTTTTTTTTGACCAATCACAGGTCGTCACGTGTCATGTAACCTGTTATATGACCGATTGGAACCAATAAAAAAGGATGGGGGGTAAAGGTCGGATTATTAAATAATAATCCAAAGGTGGGATTATTAAAAAAAGAATGACCCAAAGATGGAATTATTCCCATGAATTTTTCCTATATTGAAAGGCTATCCAAAATAACTAGAAAAATCACAATCCATATACTAAAACAACCTATAATCTTCAACCATTTAGGACATTAAGACTTTTATCCTTAATTGGAATCAGATTTTCTCTAACTAATCTTCATGAAATTGGAATTTTTTTTTCAATTTTTTTACAGGTTGATTTTGAGGGCCCAAAGAATAATAATGATAATAATGATGATTAACACACTAGTTCTGTGCCCGGGCGATGTTCAGATAATTGATAAAATTTTAAGAGAACATTTTTACTTAAATGTTAAATACGGTCGAATAATTCGTTCTGATAATGTAGGATATTTGGACATACAATATCATATGGAGTGTACTTTGTTTGTAAATAGATATCAATGTTATTATTGACTTGAAATTATTTTTATTGAACTTCAATTATTTTCACTGAATTGAAATATTTTACCAAACTAAATTATTTTTACTGATTAAAACTTATTTTACTGATTCTCTAATATTTTTTTAAAATAAATTAAATAACAATGCATTTTGTATGCGACTAACCACACCATCTGGCTGGACAAAGTAACCCCTGTGTAACTGATCGAGTGACCCTTGCAATACTAACCGAGTAACCTCTAAAACTGACTAAGTACCCCCTACCTATAACACTAATTGAGTAACCACTATGACACTGACCAAGTAACCCCTATATCATTAACGAAGTAACTCTTATGTTGTAATAGTTGGTGACACGGTTTGGCTAACTACATATAAAAGTTTGTGATTAAATATATAATAAATGGATCTTATTTTAAAGAACTTTTTAAAACGAATTTGATGATGGAAATAGAATTGAGTTAAAGAATATTTATTAAAGGTTATGATTAATTGTGTATATATGAAATATTAGAATTTTATCGATAATAAAATACTATGCAACAATTTTATCTTAAAAAATCTATCCAAAAAGCGCTTACTTAGCATCATATGTGTCACAATAATACCTATTTATCTCCTACGTGGCGCGACACTTGCCAAAAAACTGGAATTTCTAGTGTCGTTGTCTCGTGGCCTGGCTGCGAGACCGGCGTTATTTATTAGTGATATGATATGATATTAAATTTATTATTAGAAAAATAATAACTTTTGTAGTATAAAGGATAACTTTAAATAACTCATAATAAATTAATGTACACTCATCTCTTTAGAGAATTTATGTTTAGGGAAACAAGGAAGTATATACAACATTAATATTTAACGACAAAAATGATCACATTAGATATCTTTACATTTTGTGTACTTTGAAAATATGAAAAAAAATTATAATTCGTAATTTTTTAATTGCAAAATAAATAAGATACTAATAAGTATATGATCTGATTTGTTTGTTTGTTCTTATTGTTTTTAAATAAGCAAATATGGAGTATTTTCTTTGTTCACATTTTTTAGTGCATGTTTTCAACAACTATGTGGCCCAGACGTTGTAATAGGTTGCTAGTTTAATTAATCTTATGATTATATGTATTTAGTGTTTATGGTTTTTTTTTTCTTTTTTTAATTAGTACTTCTGATTTGCAATTATATATATTTATTTATTTTCATCTTTATAACATGGTTGATAATTGGCTTAGATGGTTGAATAACCATCCTTCTTAAAAGCTTGTGACATAATGATTAAGGTTGATTGAGTGGTGATGTGGCATAATGAGAGGTTGAGCAAAAAAGTCTATGTGACACCTTTTAATAGACAAAATTTCGTAAAATAAATATAAATAATTAAAATTGATATCTTGAGAAAATAAATTTTAAAGCGAATTTAGCAACACTCATATTGTAAATTTTAAAGTACTTCAACTAAAAAGACATTTTAAGTCTGTATTTTAATAATTTAAATAATTATAGATTAGAAGCAATTGGCTACTCTATTTCTCCTAAAAGTCTTTCAAAAAAAAATAAAAATTCTCCTTTTAAATCCTTGAAAAAAAAAGAATTAGCCAACTACCACCAGCTTTTTGGTTGATCTTCCGTTTATAAATATACGATATTTTTATTGAGAAAATATTATATAACTCTATCAAGACCATAATTATCATCTATTAAAACCATAATTATCATTCCTCTAACAGAACCACCACTACAATTATGGATGTCTTTTAATGTCCACATTGTTTTTTTAAATGTTAAATTTACTCAAATTTATAGCTTGTGCATAATATTTACGGAAATAAAGTATATCCGTTTTGAATTTTCTTTCCTTACAATTATGCATTACATCTATAACTAATACTAAAGTAATTACCGCTGACATCATAACTATCCACGTGGCAGCTTCTTATAAAAAAATTTCCCTTCAAAACTATTATTGACATCATTTTTTTTTCCTTTTCAAGGTAAAAGTTAATGTTTGGAAATAATTGACTAATTATACGGAGTATATTTTTCTAAAAACTTTTATGACTAAATATACAATTTCTATTCAAATGAATTAAAATTAAATAATTGACGGTTGGTACAGTCTCTTTCACTATTTTTTTCTTTCTCCTACATAGTTTATTTTCTTAAAAATAATCTCCTATATTTTATTGTAGTAGTGATTGTAAATTTTGGATTTTACACTCTTTATTAATTCTTCAAATTTTCTATAATGAATCAAAAGGGAATGCAAACATTTTAAAAATTTTATTATAGCAATGAAGTTAATAGAATAATTAACATTATCATGTTTTTTATTTTACCTCCATTAATCTAACGAAAAGGATCACAATTTATTATGTTTTGCTTAAAATATTTATTACACACTTACAAGTAAATTTTTTATCATTAAAACCTTGCACTGCACATGACTAACCTAGTAAATAAATAAAAGAAGTTTTATTGAAAAATGGTAAATAATAATACTCATCAACTCATCACTACTTTTTTCTATTCTTTGTTAGTTGGAACATTTTAATTAAATGTACGAGAAATTTTTGATCAAATTGTCAATAATTCAATGAGGTATAGTTATTACTATATTTTAGGTGTTAGATTTTGGGAAAACTCTTCAAATTGGAGTGTGTACCATTGATCCATATATATAGAGTTACAAGACTAGACCTAATCACGATCGGAGATCTCGTTTGATAAGGATACTAAATATTTACAAATATATTCGATAACTATAATAAATATTATCTAAATATAATATCTATCAAACCCGCAGTCGTAGCGGGAGGAGGTCATACACTAAGATTGGATCCAAAGTCTAAAAATAAGTCTCGTGGAAGGCCTTTGGTGAATATGTCTGCAAACTGGTATGTAGAAGGAACATGAAGAACTCGAACCTCATCCAAAGAAACTTTTTCTCGAACAAAATGAATATCCATCTCCACATGTTTGGTGCGTTGGTGTTGAACTGGGTTGCTAGAAAGGTAGATAGCGCTGACATTATCACAATAAACAAGAGTAGCTTGACGAAGAGGACAATGTAGCTCCAATGAAAGATTACGAAGCCAACAAGCCTCAGAGACAACGTTTGCGACGCCTCGATAATATATTTAGATAATATTATATTTAGATTGAAATCTAACATTAGGCAATGCATGTTAAACTTTTAGCAAGTAGCTAGAATGTAATCAGGTATATATTATTATCACTAATAAATAAAGTCGGTCTCGCAGCCAAGCCATAAGATAGCGACACTTGGTATTCCAGTTTTTCGCCAAGTGTCGAGCCACGTAGGCGACAAATAGGTTTTATTGTGACACATATAATGCTAAGTAAGCAAATTTTGGATAGAGTTTTTAAGATAGAATTGTTGTGTAGAGTTTTATTATCAATATACTTCTAATATTTCATATATACAAAATTAATCATAAAATTTAATAAATATCCTATAACTCAGTTCTATTTCCATCATAAAATTCGTTTTAAAAAGTTCTTTAAAATAAGATCAATTTATAATATATTTATTTTATAAAATTAATAGAGAATTAGTAAAAATTAGTTTTAATCCGTAAAAATAATTTTAGTTTGGTAAAAATACTTTCGGTTCAGTAAAATAATTTAAGTTCAATAAAAATAATTTCAATTCAATAATGACATAGATATCTTATTTTATACTATTTGAATAATCCTTTTTGATAAATTAAATATCATATCATATCATTAATAAATAAAGCTGGTCTCGCAGCTAGGTCACGAGATAGTGACACTTGGTATCCTAGTTTGTCGCCAAGTGTCGTGCCACGTAGGTGACAAATAGGTATTATTGTGACACATATGGTGCTAAATAATTGAACTTTGGATAGTTTTTTTAAGATAAAAATGTTGTATAGAGTTTTAATTATCGATACAATACTAATTTCATATATAAAAAAATAATCATAACTTTAAATAAAAATCTAATAACTCGGTTTTATTTCCATCATAAAA